TTCCTTCCTTCCTTCCTTCCTTCCTTCCGGACTTGAAGACGCTTAAGGCAATAGGCAAAATAACCCCCTTGCATCCTGCAGGTTTGGTTGACCACAGCCAGACCCATCACTCTATCTGGCTATCTGTAACCACAGCCCTATGAGGTAGGCTCATATTCGTCTACCCACGGGGCAGGGGAGGGCATGGGGACGGAGGCTGAGTGACCATGGCAGCTGAGATTGTGTTTTTTTCTTTTCTGGATTAAAATGAGCAGCCCTAATCTGGACGGATAACATATTCTGTATTTGACGGTTGCTTTTATAGGCCGCCTGATCTCCAGTGAGTACAACCCCACGGTTTTGTCATCAGAACGCCCTTGTGACATAAAAGGCTGTTATTTATTTATTTATTTGGCCTCTTATACCGCCCCATCCGACTGCCATGGCCACTCCATGCAGTTTACACATTGAACAATCATATCCTCAAACAACAATTGAAAACAATAAATGTAATGGTTATAAGATCGGAGTTAAACACGAGCACACCAACAGAATTTAACTGATAATCACTAAAATGCGATCAGTACTCCATCTCTCAGTAGGAACCCATTGCCCCCTGATCTGTGTCAGTTTTTGCATGCATTCAAATATATTCTGAAGTGTAAATACAGATGAAACAATTTTTTTTAAAAAAAAGATGATTCCCCCCCTTGTCTGTATTCCTAGCTATATTGATTTCCCCCCTTGTCTGTATTCCTAGCTATATTGCAACCAGATCTACTTCTGGACAGACCTCCATGAGAACCTGCAGTTTGGAATTAGCATAGATCAGCTAACTCAACCATCCCGTATTCCGTAAACATTGCACACACCACAAAATGTGCGGCTATTTATCCGTGCAAGAAATGATCTTTGTGACGAGCCAAGGGTGGCTCACGAATGGCTGAAATTCAGGCCAAGTCTGGGCCGATGGGCCAGAAGGAAACACACCGTCCTGGAAGATGAATCAAGAATCCTGCTCATTCAGTAGAGCCTCCATGTTTAGTGGCTGTATACCTTGAAAGCATTTCTGGGCACCTTATAAGTTGCTGGGATGGTTTGGGGACATTGACTAAGGTGGATGGAAGTTGAAGTCTATCTGCAGAGCCATGTCTGTGCCCTAGAGACTGGATGATCACAGCGGTCATTTCCCTTATTTTTATGCCCAGTTTGTAGAGGTTTTAGAAATGTGTGACTGCTGGCATGCTAGCTTTCTAAGTACAAGGATATTTTTTTAAAAAAATCATCCATTTCTTGTAGCCTTCAGGAGCATAGTGTTTGAGGGGGGGAAACGAAGGCTTTCTCCAAGTAGGGAAAAAAAATGACATGAATCTGGGCACGTGTGTGCCCTCTTTGGTAAAGCTGGGGCTCTCTCTTGCTGCCGCCGGCCACGCACACCCTCTACGCACATAGACATCATGCTGATGGCTGCGAAGGGTAGCTTCTGATGGGTTGGAATGTGATTGATGTCTTTTGTGGCCTCAGTGAGTGGAGGGCCAGGCCGTTCCCAGCTCTGCCTCTCCCTGTGTAATCCCCTGATCCCATACAGCAGAGACTCCACCTGCTCATTTTTTAGAGGGTCATTATCCCCCGGCTATTCACCGTCAATAGAGCATGCAAAGATGAGCCGCTGGGGCTATTGTGTCCCCCCGGCGGCTTCTGATTGGCTCCCGAGTGTGGGAAACTCTAGTGAAGCTGAGACCCACAGCGTCTCGGGCAGCCCAGGGGGGTATAAATAGAGGCCGAGGGAAGCTGTAAGATTCACCGCACATCTGCTCAGCAAAACCGAACCTCCTGCCTTCGAGGCCCCGCGAATGAATGGCTCCTTCCAGCATCCTTTTCATGGACCAGAACGGCATGCTAAGTCCAAAAGAGAAAAACAAAGTAAGTAACCCTTTGGCGGCTTTTATTGGGGGCTTCTCGGTATATTTGTAGGATGGACCTAAAGAGGTTCGGAAGCAGTTTTCCCTACCGAAAATCATAGTTCTGCATCACGGAGGGAGAAGATGGTTTTAACTAAGGGGACGTCCTCAACATTGTCGCAGAGCTTCGGGAAGTTATGTTTTTGGGTCAAGAACATCGAGGACCTTCCAGATTTTTTCCCCCTATGAGAAAGTAGCTTTTGTAAACCTAAACTTATGAGGATTCTTTGAGCAAACGGTGGCTCAGGTCTCTGTCTGCAAAACTCAAGGTTGGGAGTTCAATTCCCCCACTGGGCCTCCTTGACAGGGGCTAAACTCAATGATCCATAAAGGTCCCTTTCCAGCTTTGCAGTTCTAAAGATGATTCTTATTATTAAAAAAAAAACAAACCACCAGGCACAGTCCATCAAAATTTTAAAAAACATTGGCTGGCATTCTGTAATACATGCAAGTTGCTGCAAAACTCAAGGTTGGGAGTTCGATACCCCCACTGGGCCTCCTTGACAGGGGCTAAACTCAATGATCCATAAAGGTCCCTTTCCAGCTTTGCAGTTCTAAAGATGATTCTTATTATTAAAAAAAAAACAAACCACCAGGCACAGTCCATCAAAATTTTAAAAAACATTGGCTGGCATTCTGTAATACATGCAAGTTTTAACCGAAAACCTAAGTATTTGCTAAACAGTATATATGCTGTTCCTAATATTGCGTTTTTGGGGGTAGCTCTGTTGTTGTTGTTGTTGTTGAACAATGGTGGCTAAACTAGCCACTAAGACACTATGAGTCACTCCAGAAGAACCTCCTCTTCATTTGATATTGTAAAATGGCTTGTAGTTGGCTTGGTCTCTCTGTTTGGGGGCATAGACTGTGAATGGGGTTCCATTGACCTGAATTCTAATGGATTATCTTTCTGCCTTGGCAGCTTAGAAAACCGGTGGTGGAGAAAATGCGCCGGGACCGCATCAACAGCAGCATTGAGCAGCTCAAGGTCTTGCTGGAGAAGGAGTTCCAACGCCACCAGCCCAACTCCAAGCTGGAGAAAGCCGACATCCTGGAGATGACTGTGGATTATCTCAAGCAACAAAGCCAGATGCAGACCAAAGGTGGGTAGACTGGAAAAGCCGAAAGAATTTAAGGTCTATTTGAAGAGAACTCAACTATCTACCCATCAATCATAAATGGGAAGGGGAATCAGGAAAGTGAACAGTAGGACACTGTTATATACTGCATCAGATCCCTCATCCGTGTATTATTATTTCTTCCCAGTCTTGGGTTCCCAGATGTTCCTGTACTACAACCTAAGCCCCTTCAGTGTAGGATGCTAGCCATGCCCACTTCCAGAAATGCCCTCCCTTGTCCCCCCCTTCCATGTTTGACCCTTGAACCCATATGGTAGTCAGTGTTCACCTACAGTGTAGGTAGACTGTTGATTTGCAGTCTGTAAAGCTCAACTGTTCCCAAGCATGCATCTCCTTACCTTTTTCTCTCCTGTCTTGTTGGCCCTCAATAAAGGGTGCTCTTAGCATCCTTTAAAGACATTCCATTGCATGGATACTAAACGGTTCTCTCTCGCTTTTCTCCTGCTTTTTCTTCTGCAGCAGCAGGACCTGCTCACAAAGACACACAGGTTGACTTCAAAGAAGGCTATTCCAGATGTTTGCAAGAGGCGTTCCACTTCATGTCCCTCCACAAAGTCCACAACGAGACTCAAGCCATGCTCGTCAGCCACTTCCAGCGGAACCAGCTAACGACCCCTGATGCCACCAGCTCCCCGACGGCCTTGAAGCACTTTGCATTTAAGAACATCCACAACCTCTGGAGACCCTGGTAGAAGCGCTTGGGGGGAAAAGAAATGGCCAATGGGACTTTGATTCCAGGGGGGGGGGGTCTAGCCCTGGTCCTCTTCTTTGTAGGAAATATTTTCCCTTTATTGTTATTTATTCTCGAGGAGGGGAGGGGATGATTTGGATGTTGGGTGTGTTGGAAGGTTATTTGGGCTGTGCTTCAATGGGGGAGGGGGAAAGCAACACACTGCTCCAGTCCAACGTGGGAAGAGGGCGAGTACCTTCATAATGAAGAAAAGTGTTTGTTTTATAGCAAAGTGTATGGCGTCAAAGTGGGGGTAAGATTTTTTTAAAATCTGGAAGGTGCTAAAGCAGGGGCTGGAGAAATCCTGAATCCTCCAGATCGTAGGGGCTCTGATGTCAATGGGTTGTGAGGGAGCTGTCCATAGTGCTGAACCTTAGGAATAAGGTTCCACCCTGTGGATAGCTCCTTTAAAGTTGCCAGTAAAATGGGGAGCTGATTCACTTTATCACAGCGATTCCCAACCTTGGGATTCCCAGATGCTCTTGGACTGCAACTCCTAGAAATCCTAGCCAGTACAGCCCATGACGAAGGCTTCTGGGAGTTGTAGTCCAAGAACATCTGGAGGACCCAAGGTTGGGAACCACTGTCTTAGTAGCTTCCGTGGTCTCCTGCTTGTGGTTGGTGCTCCCATCCTGCTGGGTCAGTTGAGACTCATGGGTGTCGGAGTCCAGAAGGCTTAAAATTCATCCAGTAAAAGGTCATCTATCATGTTGGCCAACAGTGTCTGCCTCTGCTTTCGCACCTTATCGTCAAATCAGATTTTGGTTTCTCGCGATCCACAGCTGTTACCATCTATCTGGATGAGAAACGAGAGGCCTTCTGTTTTCAAGAAGGCCAGCTGCTCCGCTGTGAGATTTCCCAGATTCCCACCCATCTCTCTGCTACTGTTTCTTAGGAAAACAATAACCCTCTTTGCTTTATATTAAAGAAAAAAAAGGATGATCCGTTGATGGATTGTAAGGATTCAATGTCATACATTTTCTTCCGAGAGTAAGAACATTGAGCTCTTCTTGGTGTTGTGTTTCATTGAAATAAATGAATTGTTTCCTCTTATATGAGGAAGATTGCCATCCCTCTGTGGGTGGTGTGTAATTTTTTGTGTGTATGTTCTCCTGTTGCCAGGATCTTTGAATGGTGTGCATACAATGTATGCCCTTCTGTACAATAATATCAGAAGGAAAAACAAGAAATAAATATTTTTTTAAAAAAAAACTGCTTTGTGCTGTTTCTTCCTATGCAAGATAGGACATTGCGACATAATGTGTAGCCTGCATAATTAAGCTGTCAACTGGTCAAAGAGAGCTTTAAGCACTATGGGGTGGAATGATAATGATAACGACAATAAGGAGAATTAACTGAGAACTGCAGAGGTGGAAGGGATCCTAGGATTATCGAGTCCAGCTCTATGGGTACTGGAGCTCTCAACCTATGGCTCCACAGACAGATGTATAAACCACTGGTCTATCCAGCTGTTCTGTCCATAAGCTACACATGTTTTGCATTAGCATCTGTAAGTTAACCCAATTGCATAAGGTCCCGATCAAAGCAGAAAGCCAGGTTCGGTACTAGGGGTGAAGACAAGTGAATTTACAGATCAGTTTCTGTATGGGGGGGAGGGAAAACCCAAATGGGAGTGCTTCAGCCTTTTCTTAAAAAACAAAATTTAAAGGTGCCTTGTGTGAAAACCCAAGGAGCTAACTGTTTTACTTTTCTAGTTAAGATCTGGATTCAAACACAACATCCATTCATGCAGAACCGAAACAGAATGGCAGCCATTTTGGGTTTCCCAGCATATAAGGCTTACCGATTCACACATATCTGGTGTACAAATTGAACCAGAGGGAGCTTAAGGTTGCTTGGACTGGAGTGCATTCTGAAGATCTAAACCGACTCCCAGGTCAGATCAGAGGCTATGTACCCAACCTTAGTTTCTACCCCTAAAATCATTGCCAACCTAGACAACGTAGTGGATTCCTTTCACTAAGAAAAGAAATCCACCTTCAATCCACCAAGGTTCTGACTGAAAGCAAAAGAGTAACTGATTGTGTGAAAAGACTGAAAAGCACAGGAGACACACGAGGACGTGAAAAGAGAGTCAACCGAGGACGTTTCACCCAGAATATCAACATTTAGAGGAAGTGTCTCTGGTTGACCCCCAGGAAAAGAAGGGTACTGAGAAGTACTGTTTTGAAATGCTTTGTTTGTTTTCATGTCAAACCACCCCACAGTTCCTCAAAAGCTTTGTGTTTTGCATCTTTTATAGAGGCTCAAGGGCAGTGAGGGATTCCCAGTGCGGTGAAGTGGATAGAGTGAGGGACTAGGATGCTGGAGAACAGGGTTCGAATCCCTGCTCAGCCATTGAAACTGACTGAGGGAAAGGAACGGGTAAAACCATTCTTTAAATATCTCACTTACCTTGAAAGCCCTATTAGGGTCTCTATAAGTTGATTCCAACATGACAGTACAGAACATACACGCAAGCATGCCAAGGGCAGCAAGATTACAACTTCCAGGAAACACTGTGCCAGCTTCCTTCCTTCCTTCCTTCCTTCCTTCCAGGAAACACTGTACCACCTTCCTTCCTTCCTTCCTTCCTTCCTTCCTTCCTTCCTTGCTTTTTAATTTTTTGTAAAAACAGGATGCAACCCATGAGACCGCTATTCAGCCTCAGAAATAGGTCTGGGTCCAAGTGAACACACATGAAGGTGTCTGTAGGTGTATTTCTTCTTTTACAGTTTTGAATTACCATTTTCCTAGGGTAGACTGCCCCTTTCATTCTCATTGATGGCAATTACAGCCCCAATAATCCCCTCTGAGATGTTGATCAGAGAGAGAAAAAAGTTGCATTTACTCACAGTTGAACAGAACAAAAACAGCACACTGTACAAAAAAGAGTGCTTTGAGCAACAGGCCTCTTTTTTTTTTTTTTTTTTTTTCAGGTATTTTTGTAAGAAAGCAAAAGGGCTTCTGTCCATACTGCATAGAACAGGTGATTTCCCTGAAGGTCTCAGACCCATCTCCTCAACACTGTGCTTAAATCACAAAAAGATTTGAGACCACCACCACGTATTTTGGGCGATCGTTCCTGAGATATGAGATCAAGGCTGAAACAATCCTGGATATATTGATGGCGAATCAGCGAACCCAGTGTCCCATCTTGATGATCTTAAGGTCACAGGATGTTCATGTGGGTGCTGCATGCTCATGACAGCTCCCTACACCTCTGCTAGAATGAAAAATCAGTCAGTGTGACCTTATGCTTCCTGTGATTTCTTAACGCTTTCAAAAGATTATGAAGACGGATTCCTGGAAACAAGTTTTAACTGCTCAGTGGAATATGTGACACTTCTCTCTCCTGCTTCTTCAGCATTAAATGTTCTTGTCTGTTTCAAGTAGCATTCAAAGAACTGCTCAGCCTGTCACCCTGATGGCGTCCTTCATCATCAAGCTGAAGGAGAGACGTTGGATGCTGTAATCTAAAACCGGAGGAAAGTCCCTGTTCAACACCTTTTTCCCAGGCTCCTGTTCTGGGAAAATTCAAGATTTCTATCTATTTTATTTATTTATCTATAACTGGTGGACCATTCCTGCATGAGATAAATTCTAGGCAATGGCCATTCTCCATATATTTGGGGGTGAGAAGGGGTGCCCTTATTCTTCAGAGGAAATCAGTAAGTCTCATTTGCTTCCAGGCAAAGTCATAAGCACCTCTGCATGGGGAACTTCGTAATTAAATTACCTGCACCGTTTTTTAAAAGGCCGTTTTCCTCCTTTGCCAAAAAACAAAAACAAAAAACCACACATCAGATCTCTAAACTTCTCTCCTTGCATGTTAATCATCATCATCATCATCTTTGAACTGGATCTCTAAACTTCTCCCCTTGCATGTTAATCACCATCATCATCTTTGAACTGCAGAGCAGGAAGGGACCCTCTGAATGTAACTGCTATCTTCACAGCAGCCTGGAGAGAAATGGATTTCCCCAGAAGCATTATTTCATTCCTCTTGTAAGGCAAAGTATTTGAAGGTCTTGAAGGGGGAAGTTAAGAGCCATTAACTTTGCAAAGTTAATGAATCCCTGGATGAATTCAATCAAGATTGCCTGAAGAAATACTATCAACAACCTCAGATATGCAGATGATACCAATCTGATGGCAGAAAGTGAGGAGGAATTAAAGAACCTCTTAATGAGGGTGAAAGAGGAGAGTGCAAAAATGGTCTGAAGCTCAACATCAAAAAAAACTAAGATCATAACCACTGGCCCCATCACCTCCTGGCAAATAGAAGGGGAAGATATGGAGGCAGTGACAGATTTTACTTTCTTGGGCTCCATGATCACTGCAGATGGTGACAGCAGCCACAAAATTAAAAGACGCCTGCTTTTTGGGAGGAAAGCGATGACAAACCTCAACAGCATCTTAAACAGCAGAGACATCACCTTGCTGACAAAGGTCTGCATAGTCAAAGCTATGGCTTTTCCAGTAGCGATGTATGGAAGTGAGAGCTGGACCATAAAGAAGTCTGACTGCCGAAGAATTGAGGCTTTGGAATTGTGGTGCTGGAGGAGATTCTTGAGAGTCCCCTGGACTGCAAGGAGAACAAACCCATCTGTTCTGCAGGAAATCAACCCTGAGTGCTCACTGTCAG